TGGCATTACAGCTTACAACAACCTCCAACTCCTGGGCTCAAGCAAGTCTCCTGACTCCACCTCCCAAGTAGCTGGGATTACAGGCACCTGCCACAATGCCCAGCTATTTTTTAGTTGCAGCCATCATTGTTTGGCGGGCCTGGCCTGGATTTGAATCTGCCAGCTCAGGTGTACGTGGCTGGCGCCTTAGCTGCTTGAGCCACAGGCACAGAGCCTGCCACTGTACTCAAATGGCATATTTTGTCATGTAGATTTTGTCAAACCTTCAGAAATAAAAATTTTTAAAGAACACAATGGATTCTCATTGGCCATATTTGTGATTTGTAAATCAAAAAGAATAATGATTGATTTAAACACATTGAATCTGTGAAAATTCATGAGGACAAAGGGACAGGCGGCCAGTTATCATCCTCACTATGAACATTGCTAATTGAAGCGAAACTAAGCACTTATGGCTTGGCACCCGTAGCTCAGTGAGTAGGGCGCCATCCACATACACCCAAGGTGGTGGGTTTGAGCCCAGCCCAGGCCTACTATAAACAATGACAACTGCAAATTCCCCTTCCCCCCCCCAAAATGGCTAGGCCTTGTGGCTGGCACCTGTGGTCCCAGCTACTTAGGAGGCTGAGGAAAGAGAATCACTTGAGCCCAAGAGTTAGAGGTTGCTGTGACCTGTGATGCCATGGCGCTCTACCAAGGGCAATAAAGTAAGACTGTCTCCAAAAAAAAAAAAAAAAAGAATTAAGCACTTATTCTGTCTTTCCAAATAAAAAGCTTACTTCAAAATGATAAAATGATTTCTGTTAAGTCTTATTTTACAGGTGACTATAAGTATAGAAAGAATGAAGATCACTTGAGAACTCGAGACAGGTTAAAAAAATAAAATGGGTTCAGTGCCCATAGCACAGTATTTAGGGCACTGGCCACATCCACCGAAGGTGGTGGGTTCTAACCCAGCCCAGGCCAGCTAAGCAACAATAACAACTGCAACAAAAAAATAGCTGCGCATTGTGGCCGGTGCCTGTGGTCCCAGCTACTTGGGAGTCTGAGGCAAGAGAATTGCTTAAGCCCAAGAGTTTGATGTTGCTGTGAGCTGTGATGCCACAGCACTCTACTGATGGCAATATAGTGAGAGTCTGTCTCAAATAAATAAATAAGACTAAAATAATAAAATGAAGAAATCGGAAAATAATTATTTTGCAACCCCTACTGAAATCTTTGATGAGGAAAAAATAAAACTTTGTTTTGAAGTCTTGTATCACCTGCCAGGTGCAGTGGCTCAGGCCTCTAATCCTAGCACTCTGGGAGGCTGAGGTGGATGGACTGCCTGAGCACACAGGTTGGAGACCAGCCTGAGTAAGACCTCATCTCTAAAAATAGTCAGGTGTTCCTGGGGGCACCTGCAGTCCCAGCTACTCGGGAGGCTGAGGCAAGAGAATGACTTTGAGTCCAAGAGTTTGAGGTTGCTGTGAGATATGACACCATGGCACTATACTGAGAAAGTTTTGTACCACCAATTATGGGAAGCCAGATATGTTACCTGATTAAGCCTACCATATGGGTGAGGCATTCTTACCAAAAATCTTGAATCCAGTTAACTAGATCAAACTCTAATTTAGAGTTAATAAAAGAGATAAACAATCTGAGAAATCCAAAAGAAACATTCTTTTTTTTTTTTTTTTTTGGTAGAGACAGTCTCACTTTATCGCCCACGATAGAGTGCCGTGTGCCGTGGAGTCAGACAGCTCACAGCCACAGCGCCACCCCCACAAGGAACATTCTATGAGACAAACAGTTACGATCATGAAAAATTGAATGTTGGGCAGTGCCTGTGGCTCAGTGGATAGGGCGCTGGCCCCATATACTGAGGGTGGCAGGTTCAAGCCTGGTCCTGGCCAAACTGCAACAAAAAAAAAAGCCGGGCGCTGGGGCAGGCGCCTGTGGTCCCAGCTACTCGGGAGGCTGAGGCAAGAGAATCACCTAAGCCTAGGAGTTGGAGGTTGCTGTGAGCTGTGTGATGCTGCCATAGCACTCCACCGAGGGTGATAAAGTGAGACTCTGTCTCTACAAAAAAAAAAAAAAGAAAGAAAAACTGAATGTCAAGTTGTCAAGTTATGAAAAAAGGAAGCTATTCTAATTTTCCTTCTTTCTTTCCTTTTTTTGGAGACAGTCTTTAGCTGTCGCCCTGGATTGAGTGTCATGTAGTCATACTCCTACTATTTACACCTCCTACTCTTGGGCTCAAGTGATCCTCTTTCCTCGATTTTTTACTTTAGACATGCTAGCTGCAAGAGACATTTTAAGAACAACCAGGGAAATTTGAATGAGGATCGCATCGAAGATGATTTAAAGTGATTATCATTAATTTTGACAGCTTTGATTATGTTGTTTTGGCTATAGAGAAAAATGTTCTTTTTTAGAACCCTAGCAGAATTTTTTTTTTTTTTGAGACAGAGCCTCAATCTGTCGCCCTGGGTAGAGTGCCGTGGCATCACAGCTCACAGCAACCTCCAACTCCTGGGCTCAAGCGATTCTCCTGCCTCAGCCTCCCAAGTAGCCGGGACTATAGGCACCTGCCACAACGCCTGGCTATTTTTTGGTTGTAGCTGTCATTGTTGTTTGGCGGGCCGGGCTGGATTTGAACTCACCAGCTCAGGTGTATGTGGCTGGTGCCTTAGCCGTTTGAGCCACAGGTGCCAAGCTGAACCCTAGCAGAATTAAGGAAGATCCTATCATTTTTATTTTTATTTCTATTTTTTATTTTTTATCACACCTTCACCACAACCTCAACCTTATTACTCCCCCAAATTTGTTCTGGCCCCATTGCCCCACAGAACCAGCTTTCATAAAGGTCATCTGACTCGTCTCATTAAATCCAAGTAACACTTTTCAGACTCTTTGCTCAGCCTCTCTAGAGCTCCTGGGACTGCTGGCTTCCATCTGCTTTGAATGTGTCCCCTTGGCCTCCCTAGCCCACACTAAGGCACTTTCCTGGCTTTTCTCCTTCCCTTCTCTCCTCCACCCCTAACCACTTCTCAGTCTCTTTGGCAGCTTTCCCTTTCTCCCTCTTTGAGCAACTTTTCTATGCCAACAGATCCATTTCTGTTTATAATCCAATTACCCTTAAATCTATAGCTCCAGGGAAGATCTCTTCAGAATTTTTCAGCTGCCTACTGCGCAGGCCCACAGGCACTTTCTGATTGAGACAGATTATGTTTAAACTCATCAAACGCTTACTACTGCTCTTGGAATAACCAACTCTAGCTCAGGATTACTGGATGGTGTCCCCATCTCCCTCCCTCGGGCCACTCTCCCTTCACTCTCTGGGGAGCTTTTAGCTCCTCCAAAGTGAAACTCCTAAATCATCGGATCAGACACCTCTGATATTTGCTCCCATGCCCCCCTCTACTTTTTTTTTTCAGTTTTTGACCAGGGCTAGGTTTGAACCCACCACCTCTGGTATATGGGGCCAGCACCGCCCCTCCCTCTACTTCTTCACAGCAATTCGTACACTTCCACACATCCAGCTAACTATTAACAAAATGGTGTAGCCTATGATCACAGCTATTTGGGAGGCTAAGGCTGGAGGATTGCTTGAGCCCAGAAGTTTCAAGACCAGCCTGAGCAACATAGTGAAATCCCCATCTCTAAAAATATGAAATAAAATGACACATAAATGTTATATGTTAAACTCACCATTATATTTCCAGGGTCTGGCACAGGCCCATCTCTTAGTAGGGCTCCAATAAATGTTCTAAGTGTTTCCTTCCTGTCGTTTCCACTGACTTCCTAACTCTTGCTTTCCTGAGCAGCCAAGACCGTCACCAGAAAATTCCCCAAAATCTTTTTACCTCCAGTGCCCAATGCGAGCTCTCACAGTTGGTGATTATTAATTGGGTTAACTATGTATAATTTACACCCTGGACTTCACTCAACCCTCTCCCCTCACCTTTTTTTCCCCACCCAAGACAGAGTCTCACTTTGTCACCCTCGGTAGAGTGCAGAGCTCACAGCAACCTCAAACTCCTGGGCTCCAGCGACTCTCTTGCCTCAGCTGCCAAGTAGCTGGGGCATTAGGCGCCTGTCACAACGGCCAGCTATTTTTAAAGATGAGGTCTAGCTTTCGCTCAGGCGGGTCTCAAACCCATGAGTTCAGGCAATCCACCCGCCTTATCCTCCTAGAGTGCTAGCATTACAAGTGTGAACATTTGCGCTGGACCTGACCCTCCCCTTTCTAACCCCCTCCCTGGGATTTCTAATCCCTCAGATTTCTGCGCCCCACACTGCTCCCTTCTTCCTCCTCCCTCCTTTATTCCTTTCTAACTCCCACTCCGCACCCAGGCCTGGGCTCAGGCTCCGATGGTTCTCGGGCGCACGTCGGACTTACCTGGGTAGACGGGTGTGCAACCGGCCACTGGCTCAGGTCTTCAATCTCCTGCTCCATGGCAGCCTGGGGTCCGCTGCACATCGGCTATGTGGGGTCCAGACAAACTTCAGAACCAGCCAGTGAGGCGTCGCCAGCATAAGTCCCTGAACTGCCACGCCACAATCAACCCGCTGGGCTTTTACTCCTCGCTGCGCCAGGGGCGGAGTCACGGCTGCCCCACCCCCACCCCTCCCACCCCACCCAACCATCGCCCTGCCACACCCAGCCACACCCAGCCACCGCCCCAGGTGCCCTGCCCCAGGGGGGCAACGGACCTCAGCAAGTCCCTACTGAGCAGGGTCTCAGACCAGGGACCTCGGATCTTTGCCCTACTCCTTAAAGTAATTACGTCCACCCACCCAACCTACCCTTTCCACCTTGCTGAGCATCCACTTGACCCAAGTGGGAACTGAGGACACCAAAGTCTCAAATTCCAGCCAAGTCTTCTTGACCTCAGTAGAGAAATGAGGTTAGCAGGCTGGAGAGTGTGGCAGGGCCAGATGTAGGGCCTCTGCAGACAGGTCAGTTCCCACCGCCGCCCCACCAGGCCCGGGATTTTGCAAGATCTTTTCTGGCACAGGCCGGACTCTGTTTGTTGCCTGTCCAAACTGAGAGATCCGTGGCACAGTTTATTTATTCCACAGTACTATCAAGTACCTAGTGTGTGTTGGACACGGTGTTTCGGAACTAGGGGTGAAATGGTTAAGTACCGTGTTCCCACGAAAATAAGACACTGTCTTATATTTATTTTGTTCCCCAAGAAGACACACGGGCTTATTTTCAGGGGCTAGCCACGCCCATCATTAGGTCTTTTTATGGGATAGGGCTTATATTTAACAAATGCACAGAAATCCTCCTAGGGCTTATTTTTGGGGTAGGTCTTACTTTCCCGGGAACATGGTAAGACAGAACAAAGTCCTTGCTGTCAAGGAATTTCCACGCTAAATCAGCAGACAAGAAATGAGTAATAAAGTCAATAATTATTATAATTTTACATGGTGGTGAGTACTATGGAGAAAACAAAATGGAAAAACATAAGATGAGAACTAAATGCCCGAAAGGAGCCCACTATGGGGCTGTAGAGCAAGAAAGAGCTTAATGGAGCTGGAAGGAAATAGTCCCAGGGACCGCTTTGACACAGGACAGAGGGCTGAGCAGGGCCCTGAGGACCTGGGAAGAAAGTTGGATTTTATTCAGACTGTGATGGGAAACCACGGATGGGTTTTAAGTGGGAAATGCATACAATGTTTTTAAAATAATCACTGGCGCTCTGCGCCTGTGGCTCAAGCTGCTGAGGCACCAGCCACATACACCTGAGCTGGCAGGTTCAAATCAAGCCCAAGCCCGCCAAACAACAATGACCGCTGCAACCAAAAATTAGCCAGGCCTGGCGGGCACCTGTAGTCCGAGCTACGTGGGAGGCAGAGGCAGGAGAATCGCTTGAGCCCAGGAGTTGGGGGTTGCTGTGAGCTATAACGCCACAGCACTCTACCCAGGGCTACAGCTTGAGGCTCTGTCTCTAATAATAATAATAATAATAATGCTCCTTTTGGATTACAGGGGCAGGAGGAATGCGGGGACACCAGTTAGAAAGCTAAAGGAGCTCTCTGAAATAGAATGTCAGTGTGTGGTGATGGGTGGGGGTGGTGCTTAGAGACTATTGTGTTGTGGGGAGTTTTTTGAGACAAAGCCTCCAGCTATCACCCTGGGTAGAGTGCTGTAGCGTCCCAGCTCACAGCAACCTCAAACTCCTGGGATTAAGTGATTCTCTTGCCTCAGCCTCCCAAGTAGCTGGGACTCCAGGCGCTTGCCACAACACCCAGCTATTTTTTGGTTGTAGTTGTCATTATTGTTTGGCAGGCCAGGCTGGATTTGAACCCGCCAGCTCTGGTGCATGTGGCTGGCACCTTAGCTGCTTGAGCTACAGGCACCACCGAAAATTGTGTATTTTAAAAGGACAATAGTCCCAGGGCTGAAGGACTGCAGAAGCACGGGAGCTTACTACCACTGCAGTGCACTGCGCCGGTAAGGGTCTGCGCTAAGATCAGCGTCTGGGACACCAGGGTGCCTAAGGAAAGGTGCGCAGGCCAGGGTCGGAAACCAAGCAAGTTAGGTCAAAACTCCGATGCTAGCCAGTAGCTGGATGGCACCTGCGAGTAGAATAGTCACTGCAATCCAGGCTGGGGACATCATTATTCATTTATTTTAAAACAATTAATAATTTTAAAGAAATAGAGTTTCATTTTTTTTTTAAGACTTTTAATGTTACCATTTTATTTATTTATTATTTTTTTTTTGAGACAGGAGCCTCAAGCTGTCCCCCTGGGTAGAATGCTGTGACATCACAGCTCACAGCAACCTCCAGCTCCTGGGCTCAAGCAAGTCTCCTGCCTCAGCCTCCCAAGTAGCTGAGACCACAGGTGCCCACCACAATGCCTGGCTATTTTTTTTTGGTTGCAGCCATCATTGTTGTTTGGTGGGCCTGGGCTGGATTCAAACCCGCCACCTTGGGTGTATGTGGCTGGCGCCTTAGCTGCTTGAGCCACAGGCGCTGAGCCTAGAGTTTCATTTTAAAGGTAAATTTTTATTCAAATTCAGTAAAATATTTCATATGCAAAACTAAAATTTGCACTTACCCAACAAAAATATTTTGTCTCTCAGCTTATGCTCTGTTGCACCATTTCAAATTTTAACACAAAACTCTGGTTACACAGAATGACAGGATTAAAGTAGGTGAAGCCTTGTTGACTTGTTTTTATCACCACTGATGGTAAATCACGATCGTTTATTTTGACTCTACTACGTAAGTAGAGGTGTATCTAATACCACAGAAGTTGGAGACGTGACCCTTTTCTGTAGTGAGCTCCAAGAGGGTGTGTGTGTAGGGGTGACCATGTAACTGGGCATCCTCCAAATTAACTTCCATGTAGAAAACAATTGTTTAAAAGGAACTATAATAAAAATGTGCTAATGTGGCAGGGCACACTGGTTCACACCTATTATCCTAGTACCCTGGGAAACCAGTGGATTGCTTGAGCTCAGGAGTCTGAGACCAGCATGAGCAAGAGCAAGACCCCATCTCTACCAAAAATAGAAGAACTAGCTGGGCATATTGGTGCCTGCCTGTAGTCCCAGCTACTCCAGAGGCTGAGGCAAGAGGATTGCTTAAGCCCAGAAGTTGGAGGTTGCTGTCAGCTTATGATGCCATAGTACTCTACTCAGGGCCACAGAGTGAGACTCTGCCTCTAAATAAATAAATAAATAAATGTGCTAATGTAAAGCTTATATATTCTCAATGTCTCAAAAGTTCAATGTCTAGAGCAATTATTCAGAACTTAAACCAACAAAAGATTTTTTTTGGAGAAGAGTATGGGGGTGTTTTTTGTTTTGTTTTGTTTTGTTTTGTTTTTTGAGACAGAGCCTCAAGCTGTTGCCCTGGGTAGAGTACTATGGCATCACAGCTCACAGCAACTTCCAACTCCTGGGCTCAAGCAATTCTCCTGCCTCTGCCTCCCAAGTAGCTGGGACTACAGGCACCCACCACAACGCCCAGCTATTTTTTGGTTGTAGCCATCATCGTTTGGTGGGCCCGGGCTGGATTCGAACTCACCAGCTTAGGTGTATGTGGCTGGTGCCTTAGCCACTTGAGTCACAGATGCTGAGCCAGTTTTATGATATTTTTGAAAAGTAAATTTATTTCAGGTTAATGTGAGGGTACAAACAACTAGGTCAAAATATTTGATTTTGTTCGGTGGAGTCCCTCTCATGGTTATGTCCCCCATACAAAAGGTGTCCCAATCCCCCACCCCATACCAGTACAGTAAGAGCACCCCAACACCCTCCCCATCCCTTGTTACTCCTCCTCCCAATTCCAATTAAAATGAGTTTCTCTTCAGCTTTTATTGAAATTTATCAACAAAATTTTAAAAAAATAAAAAGAGAAATGAGTTTTTCTCCTATGTGGGCACACATCAGCTCATCTACTGGCTTCATATTTGTATTGAGTATGTTGAGTATGTAATTGCTTTTCCATCTTGTGATACTTGGCTGAGAAGAATGTGTTTCCACTCCATCCAGGATATTACAAAAGATGTGAAGTCACCATCTTTTTATGGCTGAATAGTATGTCATAACTATGATTTGTTAGTCCGTTCCTGAGTTGATGGGCATTTCAGTTCTTTCCATGTCTTGGTGATTGTAAATTAAGCTGCAATAAACAATCTAGTGCAAATGTCCTTATGATAAAATGATTTTGGAAAGGAGTGTTGTAACAGACATTTTTTTTTTTTTTTTTGAGACAGAGTCTCACTATGTTGCCTTCGGTAGAGTGCTGTGGCATCACAGC